CGTGGAATGTTAGATCGTGAAAAATTGGTGGGTCGTTTCCTAAAACGTGACAAAGTGGGTGCTAACTTGAGCAAGATGACATACTGCGCAATTAATTTATTCAAGTCCCTTTGTTATGTTGAACAGCGTCAACAGTATAATCGGTTCTCTAAACATAGGGCGGACCTTCGTGAAAGCATATATTTACTTACGGGATATACATGCCTTCAAGTACAGATATGTTTGCATTACTCTCAGCCTATGGAGAGTGTACCGTTATCGGATTTGTTATAATCAGTTAGCTCTAAGTCAGCACTACCGGATTCGACCGATACCCCGCCCGGGCGATCTTATGGAGGATTCGATTTTTTTTTATAGAAAAATGTGGGCCAAAAGATCGCCCGAACGATGTTATGGCAGATATTACGAAGCCCATCTTGTCTGAAAAAATAACCCTGCGCTGATAAAAATGGTCTCAGAAAATGTTTAGAAAAAATAATGTTTCGCGTTGACCAAATATAATCATTCAAAGTGTTTTAATACGTTGGTGAGAGGTTGCATTTTACGTGAACAAGAACATGCAGTAAAAAGGAAAAGCAAGCCAAAGTCGAAATGGGGTGCATCATGGACATGACATGACACAAAACATGATGCGACAACTGAGTGATCAGTGACATCATTTTTGGGTGCAATTAACTTTCAAGTACGGTACTTCTTTGCGAAACTTGCTGCCCTGCGATGCTGACATCAAGTGTGTGTTGATCGAAGTTTGACCCCAAATCACACACTGAACTGGCGCGTTACCTTAGCAACCTTTTCTTTCGTGCTCCGCGCGTCGATCTAGTAAACTTATATCCGACCGGACGGTACTGTAATTACGCAACTTGTATGCAACTCTGTACTTTGAATACTAGTATATCAACATCGTTTACTTGGTGCTTTTCTAATTACGCAAATTTGTTTACAATATTGTACCAGCTCTGAATATTTCAACTTTGTAATGTATTGCTTTCATGATAACTACACAGAATTCATTTTATCTTTTACTATTGTTAGGGTATTGACCCGGGGTATCGGGTCTGTGAATATTTCAATATTACTGACTTGATAAATGCGTTGCATTCGTAATACATAACGCAAACATAAACATGGGCGCATTTAAATCATTAAAAAGAATAGCAGTCAGGTGTCTACGGAAAGTCAAGAAAATATGTTAAATACTTGTGATTCATCGATGTTCCAATGGTGAATTATTGTATTCGAAATGAAGTGAATATGTAATATAAACCATACCGTGCGTCATTAAATTTTGCTATAATATAATAAACTCTGGGCAGCGCACTTTGATCGCATTATTCACGTACATTTCGAATGAACTCTACTAACCACGTGTTTGAATTACGTGCGGCATTGGGTAATGACCTCCAGAGTTCACACACTGATATTTGAATTCGGACCACCCAGCTTGACCTGTCAACAGAAACCGCTATATCCACTGTTTTTTTTATCGGTGTCACCACTCTTGTCTACATTTGTATCTCCGCCAATTCTGTTTTCTTATTTCATCGGCGGCATCTTGAAACTCTTGTTCTAATAGTCATTTAGCAACGTCTAAAACTTTCCAAGTGTTTTCTCTGAATGTGGTTCCAGATATAATAGAGGAGGCGATAATCCCATATAGCTACTAAATTTACGCATTGCGCGACGACCCTTTCCAATGCCACAAGCCGCGATCACCAGCTTACGATTCACATCAAAAGAATGTCCACTCTGTTTTGACGCAGGAAAAATGTCAGTCATGGAGTTACATTTTTTATTCCACTCTGCGGGCTGACTATAATATGAGCCCAGGTCACTTTTATTTAGATATCTTTTAACGGCGTCAGAAATTTTTCGGCGGCCAGTTTTTTTCATCTTAGAACTCTTTCCCATGATATATTAGGTTATTAAAACACCGAGAAAAACTTGAAATACTATAGTGTAATGTTTGTTTGTGCTTCGATGGCGTAACGGACACTAATTATAGATTACACAGGATACAATAAAGCTGGATGTTCAACAAATCAGTATGCAAATTAAATCCTTTGTCTTCAGTCTGTCATTCAACATGATACGTTTCCGGGAATAAATTGAAATTACTCAACAAATGCATCGCGCACTGTTAATTCGGACCAAAGATAAAGAAAGTACACAATATAAGGTTGCATAATGCAGGATTTTTAGAAAAATTTTTTTTTTTCTAGTTTTTCCCTTCTCGCTACCTTAAACACAACTACAAGTGCTTCAAAGTTGCAATGACTGTGACTTTAAACATTTTTTGGTAACTGTGACATTTCGCCAGGCTTCCAGTAAAACTGAATTTTAATAGATGGCGCTCTCAGGAGACAAGGGGATATATTACAAATTGACGCAAAAAATATTAAGAATATCAAAAATAAAAATCAGCGAAAAAAGATCCCCAGTTACAGCTACTGTCGCTTTAAAGCAATGCATATAGATTTCCTCAGCCAATGCGAATAGAATTAGAAAGCCTCCTGACAGCATGAATGATTGTGGCGCCATGTTGCTAAAAGGTTGAAAGTTTGATGCATGAATTCACATCTTTGATTGGACAGCAGCTTGACCCTGTGTCAGTTTCAAGCTCACCAGATCAAAGAAGCTCTCAGATGATAAATTTTGAATTGTGAGATTATTATGATAGATAAAATATTGAAAAACAAAAAATGCAAATTACCAATAGATTTTGCACACAAAAAAGAGACTTATATTGTAAATGGGGTTACGGTAGTAGTTGACCTACATTCCATTATAGTATCAATGATATCGGTTGAAGGAATTTTCTGAGGAGGCAAAGGTGATATCTGAAGATGGTCATTACATCTGAATAACGCATAGCAGTTATAAGTGATAACAAAACAGTAATTTTAACAGCAAAATTGACAGCTCAATAAGCAAACATTGATTATAACTATCGGACTGAAAACTCCAGATATGAATGGCTGGAGCATCAGCATGAACAGCAACATTATGTAAGCTAATTGCTCAAAGAACTCTGTGGAAATCAGTGGTTGAGCTATTTATAATTTCCATTCCATTCTGTAGGGTGTATGACATGTACAGCCATGCTATGATATGTAGCTATATCCATTTCAAGTCCTGAACTGACTCCACACTTTTACATAACACATGCTGATAACTCACCTGGAAGAAGCTGACAGTCATTAGTATAAGGCTGTAGGAGCTGATTCCACCGGTAAATACTTCATTCAAATCTCTTTGCAGTAAGAATTGTTTCAAAACTAAAACTAGGTAAGGTAACATAGGGTATTCTTTCATGAATCGCTGAAATAGAAAAAGTTATATTTATAAATGCATTAATGACCAAGGATTGTCAAATTTGCATAAATATACATCAATATAAAGCTATTGAATCACTGTCTATTTTTTTTTAAAATGATGAAAATCAGTTTTTAAAAATAACACAAAAGCATTGAATGTCTGGGTCATTAAATCCCTGTTTTAAAACTTGTTTAACCCTTCAGCAAAGCGAAAAGGGGCTATATAATCATCATCAAATCCAAGCCAAATCATGGTAATGTACAATACTGTATTACTTTGTCAATAACCCATTATTATTCATTATAAACACGTAGCGGACAGGTGCAGTTTAGGGCTTGCATGCATGCTATGGCTGATATTAGCAAATACAGTTTTTTTTATCTCTAGGTGTATAAAGGAAAGTTGCCAACCAGATTTCAGTGGTGACAGTGATGCATCTGGTTGGATTGTTTTGCTACAATCATGCTTTTCTATCATCAGAATGCATGGAGTGTTGTATTTTCTTAATGCATAAAATCATGAATATTTGTAGAATACAATTTCAACGATGGGCAAGAATCGAGCGTTATTTTTGTCTAAAAGTTGATTAACACCTTTGGTAATGTATGTACTGTACAATTACAATTTCACTATTTTTTGTAAAGTAAAATCTGCCAAATCTATGTAAAAATGTGAAATAATAAAACTCATGGTTTCTCTGCTAAGATTGTGAGCTTAAACTCAACTCTTCAAATTACATTTCTCATTATGCACTGGAAGGTAATCCCAAGGATTGTGGAGCAGTTGTTAACACTGTCACAATTCTGTCTCCCTCAAACATCTTGCTGAACATTAATTATTAGTGCCCGATTCCTCATTCTACAGTTGTGTTAGAGCTCACCTTTATCATACGGGCACTCTTGACCCCATTCACCATGTTAAAACTTATGTCCACTTTGACATCAAATCTTTTTTCTGTAAGTTTCACTATGGGCACCTGTGGAAGCAACAAGAAAATTGTTTAATGGTTAATATCTCAACAACACAAGACAGTTATTGTATTCTTCTTTGATCTAAAAATATGCTACTGTATCACTTTAACATGTACTGTATTTTGTTTTAGGACCAGAAAGGCCAACATTCATGCTTATAGATGCAAGGTACCTCACCACGCTGTGCTAAGTGGCAAGAACCAATCAGCAAAAAAGTGTGATATTGCTGAGACAGCCATGTACCACTCATGAGCCACAAATAAACAAATTAGCATGCATTTATGCCATTATTTAGCACATGTACAGTATGTGCGAGACTGGCGCAGTCTGGCGATTAATTTGTTTTTGCAGTTCAAATAAAATACAAAAATTCGCGAATTGGAGGTGTTAGCGCGAAATCCCCTGTAACTGTGAAATCACTGGTTTATTCTGCATGGCCCTCGATCGACACTGCAGGAACCTGTCGATTTTTCAACGGGTAATTATGTTAATGATGTTCTAATTATAAATCATGTAAGCCGATAACAACGTCTCTTCAACTGATCTCTGACCGATCTACGACTAGTGCGAGTTACTTTTAACGACGACTACGACAAACTCGAATTTCAACGAGCCGCCATGTTATGTCTGCAGTGTGACCTTTACCATGTTCACCTCATTCCACGCCCACCTGTAGGGCATTCATGAATATTTAATAGCAATGAATTTCCTGCAGAATAAACTAGTAGGGGTGATTTTGCGCTAACACCTTTTTTTGTTTATTTTATTTAAACTACAAAAATAAATTAATCGCCCGACTGTGCCAGTCTAAGTAAGTGCCATCAACAGACCAAATTTGGGTCATATTGGTCAAATAACAGCACTAATTTATAAATGCTAGTTTATTATCAGATGAGCAGAGCAAATTCAGTGAAAGTGATGATGAAAACTGTTCAACAACCACTTCATAGTTGCCTTGATGACCAACCAGTTCCCATTGGTGCCCCTTGATATTCTCTCTGCTAATCATTGATACTAAGGCTATTTTATCAATTTTAATTTTTGCTGTGAAAATGTGTGCCACACTGCATAAAAATGCGTGACAAGAATGAATCTATTCCAATCATAAACAGCTAATATTATATAGAAATCCACAACAAAATATTGGTGACAGAGCATACAATGGTACCAGCTGGACAGGGGATTAATGCACTATGTATTCCGCTAATGACGAGGGTCAACAAATTATCCTTTATATATAACTACATGTATAAAGCCAAAAGCCACTTCACTGATCATCAGAGCATACTTGACCAATATAGGCCTTTCCCAGGCTGCTCCACTGATCAAGGAATACTGTACTACCAATATAGGCCTTACCCGGGCCACTGATCATCTGTCACTGATAAATCAACATATCTTTGTAAAGACTAGTTGGAGTCTAAAAAGATAATTACTTTGAATCAAATAATTGGATACTTTCTTCTTCACAAGTATTTTATGCTTAAGTTTTTAGTCCCTGTCAGATGAAGTCCGAAAATGGAGACTTATAATTTAAATTCTGTGAGCAAGTGAGTGATTTGGTGAGTGAGTGAGTGAGTGATTTAGTGAGCGAGTGATTTAGTGAGTGAGTGCATTAGTCTCTCTGTTCACACCTGTAACTCAGACATTTATAAACCTATCACATTCAAATGCACATATACATCATACATCCTGGAATACATATGTATATGTATTCGTTTTGGGATTCAATTCAAGATGGCCAAATGGGACCACAATTTTGAACATATTATTTTCATCATTCCTGGATCTCAGCCATGCATAGACAAATATTGTTCAAACATAAATTAAACAACAGTTTCTTGGTGCATGTCATTTTGTTTGTCAAATCAAATGCACTTTGTTCTCATTCATAAATTTATCATTTATTCACTGGGTTTAATTTTGTCTTTATAATGATGTCAATGTTTCATGGTGAACAGGAGAATTTAAAGCGGGGAAGTAGTCAGCTATGCATGCGTCAGTTGGCCATAGCATGTCATTGTTTACAAACAAGCATCTACTAGCCATGATCATCATTTGGGACTCAATTCGCACGTATGCGCAGGTGACTCCCCTTCCACTTGAAAACTCAATGAAAATAATCAAATATCAGAAATGTTAAAATGTTTTATTTAGTTATGAAAGTCTTGCATGGTGTGTGTGACAAGTACATAATTTGTATAACCACACGCCATCCTGTAATTATTTTTGTCAACAATATTATTGATGTCAATTTTAATTAGGATCTCCTAAAATGAAACTTATTAGTCACAGTTTAGTGATGGATTTAAAAGCATGATTTGATACACTTCACGGTTGCTACAGGGTAATTAAATTTGTCTGTTCTATTACACAAACACTGAATTCTTTTTTGTTTCACTCTTATTTACAAAATTGTTTAAAATCAATATCTGTTCGTGTTCTGCCATATCCAAGCTTTCAGAATGTTTACATTGTCATCAATGCAATGTACATGTATGCTAACTGCGATTATTTCATTTTTTATACCATTCCTGGATGTCCCAGTGTTGGCGAGTTAGGAGATCGCTTAATGTGCATTACAAAAGAGGTGTGAATATAAATTTGCCATTTTTGAATACCAGAAGGTAAAATCAAAATCAGTCGATGTTTAAATTCCTAATGTCAAGTAAAACATTACAAATGTTTTTAAGTCAATATTATATATATACCCTTAGGTCAAGACAGCTATTTGCAGATAGAGACGTCATGTGAAGAAAGTAAACTGGTGAAGTTTATATGGCGAGGAATCCACACATGCCTTGCAGTGATTATTGAAACACTATATGTCTGACAGTAACAACTCTATCAATTTGAGCAGTATGGCTGCGATATATAGTAGTACTTATTGCAACAAATGAGGAAAAAAATGCATATTAAAGCAGTGACCAATCATAGTAGCTCTGCATATAAAACTTGCATATGATTGACTTTATACCATTACCTTCTATGCTTTAAGTTTAAGCATAGTGGGGTAACTGATTGCATAATAGGCCCTGGGAAGGACACAGATGTAGCTGGCCCTGATTATTGCCTTATTTTTATACTTGCATTATCACACACGGATCCAGACAGTAGGTTTTTATGAATGCATTATCACATACAGATCCAGAGAGAGGAGTTTTATAAATGCATTATCACACACAGATCCAGACATTGGGTTGTTATGAATGCATTATCACACACAGATCCAGACAGTGGGTTGTTATGAATGCATTATCACACACAGGTCCAGACAGTGGGTTTTTATGAGTGCATTACCATACACATGTCCAGACAGTAGGTTTTTATGAATGCATTATCACACACAGATCCAGAGAGTGGGTTTTTATGAATGCATTATCACACGCATGTCCAGACAGTAGATTTTATGAATGCATTATCACACACATATCCAGAGAGTAGGTTTTTATGAATGCATTATCACACAGAGATCCAGACAGTGGGTTGTTATGAATGCATTATCACACACAGGTCCAGACAGTGGTTTTTTATGAATGCATTATCACACACAGATCCAGAGAGTGGGTTTTTTATGAATGCATTATCACATGCATGTCCAGACAGTAGATTTTATGAATGCATTATCACACACATATCCAGAGAGTAGGTTTTTATGAATGCATTATCACACACAGATCCAGAGAGTGGGTTTTTATGAATGCATTATCACACGCATGTCCAGACAGTGGGTTGTTATGAATGCATTATCACACACAGGTCCAGACAGTGGTTTTTTATGAATGCATTATCACACACAGGTCCAGACAGTGGGTTTTTATGAATGCAATATCACACACAGTCCAGACAGTGGGTTTTTAGAATGCAAAATACTAGTTAAAAAGTGGCAAAATGTGACAGAATAGTAATAATACTTACAGTGGCTTTGTCTAATACTTTGATAGTATCTGGATCTGCTATATTATTGGCTCGGAGTTCCTTCTCTAATGTAAACAATGGCAGGGATTCCCATTCCCCAAATACAACCAAATCTATGTCACTGTGAAGAACAAAACAAATTATATTGTTTACTATTCATATAAAAGTTACTGTATGTAGTAATTTAAATTGCTATCATGTACATCATCGTCTGCCTTAAATGAATGTACCAATACTAACAGTTTAAACTATGATTGATGGGCATTTTGAAGACTTGCATGGGTGTTCAAAAGCACGCCTTCTCATCAATTTTTAGCTCAAAATAGTGCTTAAATCTTGCCCAATGTGTGAACTAATAATATAAATATATGACTGCATACGACAGAAAATAAAGCACTGGATGCATTTTGAGCACCATAGATTACAATTTGCATGATGAACAGACAGTATGGCTCTGACATTTTGGCCACAGACGTAACAGCCACGACATTTTGATCATAGCTTTTTTTGGATTGCAAACATTTGCCCATGGGTGTTTTTTCTTTGAAGGTATCTCAAACATATATCTGACTTAGAAGCACTTTTCAGTATTCATTCATATGTACAATTTAAAATAATGATTATTATTAGTGTTACTAAAAAATTGCAAAAGTTTCAATTCAAGCATATGCTCATTTAACCTACCCTGCAATATAGAACATTAGTAAATACAACAAGATTGTTCATTTACGCTATTATGTGAGATTATACATTAAGATCACACAACAGGATGAAATAAATACAGTTTGCTATTACAAACATAAGATATATTGAATATAGTTTGCCATTACAAACGTAACTAGATGAAATAAATACAGTTTGC